TTGGGAGGCCAGGGAAGAGACCATGGTCACTTAAATTGCAATCTCAAAACCCAACAGGTTTAAAAAAAAAAAAAAAAATTCCTTTAAGCAGCCTAACCTGAACTCTTCTTGTGGCAGAATTGAACTGAGACTCTGGAGTTTTTAATCACATTTATTGTGACTATTATATATTTTGCTGCAGAATTTTAATATACTTAATGTATTTCGTTGCTGTCCCCATCCTTGTTGGGAATAATTTTATATACTATTGCTTTATTTATTTAATTTTTTTTAAGATGGAGTCTCACGCTGCTGCCCAATCTGGAGTGCAGTGGTGTGATCTTGGCTGACTGCATCTCTGCCTCCTGGGTTCAAGTGATTCTTCTCCCTCGGCCTCCCAAGTAGCTGGAGTTACAGGTGTGCACCATCATACCTGGTTAATTTTTGTGTTTCTGATAGAGACAGAGCTTTACCATGTTGGCCAGGCTGGTCTCAAACTACCCACCTTAGGTGATCTGCCCGCCTTGGCCTCCAAAAGTGCTGGGATTATAGGCATGGGCACTGCACCTGGCCTGCAATATTACTTTAATAAAACCCTCCAGACATTTCAATTTCTGAAACATGACCAGGGTTTTTGTTTAAGAAATTGGAACTGGGTGGGGTGGCTCACGTCTGTAATCCCAGCACTTTGGAAGGCTGAGGGGGGTGGATAGCTTGAGCCCCTAGGAGTCTGAGTTGACCAGCCTGGCCAACATGGTGAAACCTCATCTCTACAAACAATACTAAAACTAGCCAGGCATGGCGATGTGTGCCTGTAGTCCCAGCTACTTGGGAGGTAGAGGTAAAAGGATCAATTGAGCCCAAGAGGCTTAGGTTGCAGTGATCCGAGTTCACACCACTGCACTCCAGGCTGGATGATAGAGCAAGACCCTGTCTCAGAAAAAAAAAGAGGGAGAAAAAGATTGAGATCAGAAGCATGTCTGTGGAGATAGTGAAAAATCGTTGGATTCTGGATGGATTTTAAATTTAGAGCCATTAAGTATTCCTGATGGATGGGAATATGGGCTATATAAAAAGGAGTCTAGCTGTCCAGAGCTTTGGTCTCAACAGCCAGAGTAACAATCATCTGAGATGAAGAAAGGCTGTGAGTACAGTAAGTTTTGGTGGAAAGGACAGTTTAGTTCAGTTTTGGACATGTCGGTTTTGAGATGTTGAACAGACAGTTGGTTATAAGTGTTTGGAATTTAAGAGACAGGTTTGGGAAGAAAAACACAAAGTATTGGAGGTGGGTTGGGTGCCCTGACTAATGCCTATAAGCCTAGCACTTTAGGAGGCCGAGGCTGGAGGATTGCTTGAGCCCAGGAATTCGAGACCAGCCTTTGCAACATAGTGAGATGCTGTCTCTATAAAAAATTTTTTTTAAAAGTGTTGGAGGGGGAGGGTGAATTTTGGAGAACTATTTGGAATATCCAGTACTTTATGACTCAGTAGTTCAACATCCAAGAAGCTTTTTCTACATGTGCACTACTAGGAAACAACTACAAGAATGTTTACAGGAATATTGTTTTAATGGAGAAAAAAAGATGGAAAGAAACTTAAATTTCCATTTACTAGAGGATAGATATATATTGATATATCCATAGACTGGATCATCATGTAAAGATTAATGAACTGAAGTGAAATATATCCACTTGGGTGAATCTCCCAGTTTTCATAATGTTGGCTGATGTCAGCAGAGGAATACATATAATATAATACCATGCATACACAATTTTAAAACATGTAAAACAATACTTTTTTTTTTTGAGATGGAGTTTTGCTCTTGTTACCCAGGCTGGAGTGCAATGGCGTGATCTCGGCTCACCCCAACCTCTTCCCTCCTGGGTTCAAGCAATTCTCCTGCCTCAGCCTCCTGAGTAGCTGGGACTACAGGTGTGCACCACCATGCCCAGCTAATTTTTGTATTTTTAGTAGAGACGGGGTTTCACCATGTTGACCATGATGGTCTCGATCTCTTGACCTCACTATCCACCCGCCTCTGCCTCCCAATGTGCTAGGATTACAGGCATGAGCCACCGCACCCGTCAACAATACTAATTTTTATGAATCCAGAAACACATATGGAAAATATAAAAAACAAATTAAGAATGTTAATTTAGGACTGGTGGGTGGTGGGACTTGATACACGTAGAAAACAAGTCATAGGGGCCCCAACTGTTATTGTAAAGGTTATTTTATGTGTCAGTGGTGTGTGGAGTCATCTCTTTGTTATATTATTTCCTATACTACTTTATTTGTCTCAAATATTTTCTAGTAATTCATCACATAAACAGAACCAAAAACAAAAACCACATGATTATCTCAATTGACGCAGAGAAGTCATTTGACAAAATTCAACAGCCCTTTATGCTAAAAACCCTCAATAAACTCGGTATTGATGGAACATATCTCAAAATAATAAAAGCTATTTACGACAAACCAACAGCCAATATCATACTGAATGGGCAAAAACTGGAAGCATTCCCTTTGAAATCTGGCACTAGACAAGGATGCCCTCTCTCACCACTCCTATTCAATATAGTACTGGAAGTTCTAGCCAGAGCAATCAGGCAAGAAAAAGAAATAAAGGATATTCAAATAGGAAAGGAGGAAGCCAAATTGTCTCTATTTGCAGATGACATGATTGTATATCTAGAAGACCCCATCGTCTCAGCCCAAAAACTCCTGAAACTGATAAGCAACTTCAGCAAAGTCTCAGGATATAAAATCATTGTGCAAAAATCACAAGCATTCCTATACACCAATAACAGACTTAAAGAGAGCCAAATCAAGAACGAACTGCCATTCACAATTGCTACAAAGAGAATAAAATACCTTGGAATACAACTCACAAGGAACATAAGGGACCTCTTCCAGGAAAACTACAAACCACTACTCAACAAAATAAGAGAGGACATAAACAGATGGAGAAACATTCCATGTTCATGGTTAGGAAGAATCAATATCGTGAAAATGGCCATACTGTCCAACGTAATTTACAGACTCAACGCTATCCCCATCAAGCTACCATTGACTTTCTTCACAGAACTGGAAAAAACCACCTTGAACTTCATATGGAACCAAAAGAGAGCCCGCATAGCCAAGTCAATTCTAAGTAAAAAGAACACAGCGGGAGGCATCACACTACCAGACTTCAAACTATACTACAAGGCTATGGTAATCAAAACAGCATGGTACTAGTACCAAAACGGAGATATAGACCAATGGAACAGAACAGAGGCATCGGAGGCAACACAACCTATCTACAACCATACAATCTTTGATAAACCTGACAAAAACGAGCAATGGGGAAAGGACTCCCTATTTAATAAATGGTGTTAGGAAAACTGGCTAGCCATGTGCAGAAAGCAGAAACTGGACCCCTTCCTGAGACCTTACACTAAAATTAACTCCAGGTGGATTAGAGACTTAAACATGAGACCTGGCACCATAAAAACCCTAGAAGAAAATCTAGGCAAAACCATTCAGGACATAGGAGTAGGCAAGGACTTCATGACCACAAACACCAAAAGCATTGGCAACAAAAGCCAAAATAGACAAATGGGACCTAATGAAACTCCACAGCTTCTGCACGGCAAAAGAAACAGTCACTAGAGTGAATCGGCAACCAACAGAATAGGAAAAAATGTTTGCAGTTTACCCATCTGACAAAGGGCTGATATCCAGAATTTACAAAGAACTCAAACAGATTTACAAGAAAAAAACAAACAAGCCCATTCAAAAGTGGGCAAAGGATATGAACAGACACTTTACAAAAGAAGACATACATGAGGCCAACAAACATATGAAAAAATGCTCATCATCACTGGTCATTAGAGAGATGCAAATCAAAACCGCATTGAGATACCATCTCACGCCAGTTAGAATGGCGATCATTAAAAAATCTGGAGGCAACAGATGCTGGAGAGGATGTAGAGAAATAGGAACACTTGTACACTGCTGGTGGGAGTGTAAATTAGTTCAACCATGGTGGAAGACAGTGTGGCGATTCCTCAAGGACCTGGAAATAGAAATTCCATTTGACCCAGCAGTCCCATTACTGGGTGTATATCTAAAGGACTATAAATCGGTGTAGTATAAGGACACATGCACATGAATGTTCACTGCAACACTGTTCACAATAGTAAAGACCTGGAATCAACCCAAATGCCCATCGATGATAGACTGGACTGGAAAAATGTGGCACATATACACCATGGAATATTATGCAGCAATCAAAAATGATGAGTTCGTGTCCTTTGTAGGGACATGGATGAACCTGGAGAACATCATTCTCAGCAAACTGACACAAGAACAGAAAATGAAATACCGCATGTTCTCACTCATAGGCAGGTGTTGAACAATGAGAACACATGGACACAGGGAAGGGAGCACTACACACTGGGGTCTACTGAGGGGAATAGGGGAAGGACAGTGTGGGGGGGGGCTAGGGAGGGATAGCATGGGGAGAAATGCCAAATGTGGGTGAAGGGGAGGAAGGCCGCAAAACACACTGCCATGTGTGTACCTATGCAACTATCTTGCATGTTCTGCACATGTACCCCAAAACCTAAAATGCAATTAAAAAAATAATAAATGAAATATTTTCTAATTATCGCCCACTGCCCCTAATCCCATTTCATTCCTTCTGTATGCTTGTCACTATGCCCTTTACAATTTAGCAGCAGTTAACAGATGGCCTAGAGTGCCTGTAATCTACATTGGGGAGATGGTTCCATCTAGTGGGAAAAATGTTGCACATATTCTATGGGACATTCTTTTTAGGAAGGAAGAATAGAATTAATAGTTTTCTGAGTCCTATTTATTTCACAAAAATTTAAGAGACAAAGAAAGTTATTATTTAGAAATATGTGGCCTTTACCATTATTAAGATAATGCTGTAGATTTCCTAAGAAATTTAGGTAGACGAACAGGACTCAGATGGGTTCTTATTTCTAACTTGCATATGTTTTGTTTTTCAGAAGGAGTTGAGCCTTCCAAGAAGAGGCAGCTTGTAAGTAGATATTTATTACCATTATGACCATGATCTCCTACTTAGGAACCCCTCTTGGGAACATTTCCCACTATCACATGGAGGAGTCTCGCTTAGGAATATTTCTTTCTGTGTGCTCCTGTCTGAGCTAGGGAAGCCCGCAGGTCAGCTGACTTCTCCTAGTAGGTCAGATATTCCTCCGTCCCCATTCCTCCCAACCTCCAAACCTGTTCTCTGTCTAGCATAGCATTTTGGGAAAGTTACAACTTAAATATTCATGACAGTCTTATACTTGTGCTTTGGGATTTATTGAGTTTTAGTAGACTCAAGCTAACAAGGCAGTAATATTAAAATGGAAACCCTTTGGATTTACATCTATCCCCTAATATGAGGAGGAGACCAGCTTTTCTGATAAGTTGAGGCAAGGGCAGCTAAGTTTGGAGACTATGTTGAATGGAATAGGTCCCCAACCTGTTTGGTTTTTTTCTGGCTTCATGGTTAGGGGAGATTAATAAATAGTCTTTGTCCCTGGATTTTAATTTCTTATATTTTCTTGAACTGCGTTTCCTCCAGGAATTCTGTTGGGGCAGTATTAGAAATTTGGCCAATCAGAATTACCTGAAATGCTTGTTAAAGTGTGGAGCGTAAACTTAATGCATTAAAATCTCTGTGTTGGGGCCCAAGAACCTGCACTGTATATATCTACAACATACTCATATTTACCATGATTTACTAGTAAAGTTACATCTGGGAAACACTTAGGAAATAGAGCGATGATAAAGCAATGGCTTTTAAATTTTTCCTTAACAAAAAAAGATGTAATTAAGGGGGAGGTCACAACAGTATCCATATTTATTTTATATACACATTATGTGCAGTTTTTAAATGTATGAAACATATAATTCTGTTAGTGTCCATTTTAGGATTTTGTTTTGTAAAAAAATGCTCTAGTGATTAAATTTTCCTCTGAGATTTTTGTGAAGCCTTTTGGGCCATTTATGAAAGCTTGTTTTGGTTTGCTATGAAGAGACTTGAGTCAGAAAACTCCTAAGGTTCAGTCTTGACCATGCCATTTAACTAGTTTTGTAAACCCAGACAAGTCACTTTTTATCTTCTTAAACCTCAGTTGCCTTATCTGTAAAATGAAGATAATGTTACCTGTGTTTTCTTCTTGCTAAGGCTGTTAGAAGGATCACTTAATATATGCATAGTTCTTTATTACTTACGGTTTAATTTTAATATATATTAGTTTTAGAATTCTTAATGGGTTAAATTTGGATGCATTCTATTATTTAAGAGGCACATTTTTTATTTTAAATTCAGTTTCTAGCAGTGGATCTCAGGTCTAGCGTCAGAAGTGTTCTGAGTCTTCTGTAAATGGCAAGAGCTCTACCAGGACTGTTAGAGGAATTATACATTAAGTAGATCATAACTAAAAAGGAGTAGCCTTTCAGCATCATAGTTAGCAAATATTTGTACTTGGTTGCTTTTCTATTTCTGCCCCCGACTTTTTTGGGTCCTTCTATTTGAAAACTGTCTGAGATTTGCCTTGTCTTAGTATTAAGTGAAATAAATTAAAGCCTGAGGCAGGTAGTTTCTTGCAGGAATATGTGTCCTCAATGAATGAGAGTTGCTAGGAAGAAGGAGAAGGAGGAATATTCTTATTTTTATTTTATATCAGAAGAATTTTTTGGCCATTTTAGTGATATCTAAAATTAAGCCTACTCTAACTGCCTTAAAAATGTTTAATTAGGGCCGGGCGTGGTGGCTCAAACCTGTAGTCCCAGCACTTTGGGAGGCTGAGGCGGGTGGATCACGAGGTCAAGAGATCAAGACCATCCTGGTCAACGTGGTGAAACCCCGTCTCTACTAATAATACAAAAAATTAGCTGGGCATGGTGGCACGTGCCTGAAATCCCAGCTACTCTGGCGGCTGAGCCAGGAGAATTGCCTGAACCCAGGAGGCGGAGGTTGTGGTGAGCCGAGATTGCGCCATTGCACTTCAGCCTGGGTAACAAGAGAGAAACTCCGTCTCAAAAAAAAAAAAAAAGAGTTTAATTAATAAGCATCAGAAATATAGGTTTTCCTTCCTCTTTTTGATAAAGTAACTCACATTTAAACAATTGATCACTCAGTAAATACACATTAATACCTACTCTGGGCTGGGCATGGTGACTCACACCTGTAATCCCAGCACTTTGGGAGGCTGAGGCAGACGGATCACCTGAGGTCAGGAGTTTGAGACTAGCCTGACCAATATGTTGAAACCCCATCTGTACTAAAAATAAAAAAAATCAGCTGAATGTTGTGGTGTGTGCCTGTAATCCCAGCTACTCGGGAGGCTGAGATAGGAGAATTGCTTGAATCCAGGAGGTGGAGGTTGCAGTGAGCCAAGATGGTGCCACTGCACTCCAGCCTAGGCAACAGAGTGAGACTTCATAAAAAAAAAAAAACCCAAAAAACAAAAAACCCACTCTGTGCTGGGCAGAGTGAACTAAATTCTGAGGCTATAAGTTCAGTTAGATAAATTCTTCTCTTTGGAATAGCTTAAGTAAGTCAGAAGTTCTTCAGTTCTTTAATATTAGCAATATCCTTTCTTATCTCTAATATTGGAGGAGTAGAAAAAGTTTTGTTTTGGAAGAAAACAAGGAAACATGGGTACTAATATAGGCTTTGCCGCTAACAAATTATGTGTGGCTTTAAAACAGGAACTGCTGCTTCTGAACCTGAATTCCCATACTTGTGAAATGAAGGGATTGGCTACCTGATCTCTATGCTTAGTCATCTCCCCAAACAATTGAAGTTCCATGGTACCTCTTGTACATGGAGCTGGGCAAGTCTTTGTAGGGAGTATGCAATAGGAGGCAAAGTATTGCTTAGCATTTATAGTAAAGAAAACAGAAAGGTAAGAACCACAAAATAAATATTCGAATATGTTTAATTACTACAAAATTTGTTGTGTGGAGAAACTGATGTTAATAAAATGAGTGACTTACTATTTGCCCCACTGTTTCCTGTCCTCATAGCCTTATCTGGAAATTTTTAAAGTTTCTATACTTGTACTTTAAGTCTTGGTCAGAATGAGGGGGCATTATATTTGCCCTATTTGCCTCTTTCTCAGAATGGCTCTCCCAAGAGCAAATCCTATGGTGTGCTCATTCCAGGTTATGAAGGCCCATATCCTTTGACATATCTTTCATGTGCATAGAGAAATTTAGAGTTTGCCTCTAGTTTGGTGTTCTTGTCCTTTGAGAGAGTATTTTTGTTAATTAGTTTTTGAGGCTCTCAATTGCTATGCTTTTCCACATAATATGTTAGTTGCATTAAAACAGACAGGAACTCATCAAATATGGGTTTCTAGACTTTTGTGATAACTTGGCATTATACAAAATACACATTCTTCCACCCAACAAGTAATTCCTCCAAAGTCTCCAGATTGGTAAGTGGAAGTATAACAAAAAATTTCAAGCTTGGGTTTGTAAGTCAGGCAGATGTGGGTTTCAGTCTTGGCACTATCACTTACTAGATATTTTTTGGTAAAATAAGTTACTATATTTTTGTCTTTTTGCCTCCATTTACTTTGTCATTTGCTAAGATTTGTCCATGCATCCGTCATACTATATTATTTTAGTTCCAATTATGTGTAGGCACTTTGCTATATGCTGGAGATACAGTAGTAAATAAAGCAGACAAGGTCCCTACATTCATGGAGTTTCCATTCTACTTAAGAGAGACAAAAACATATATGTCATATGGTACTGAGTGCTCTGAAGAAAAACAAAGCCAGATACAAGATAGGAGGATGTGTATTTGTGGGGGTAGGGGTTGAAATTTAAATTTTACATTGTATTGTCTAGGCTGGGTTTGGTGACTCACACTTGTAGTCCCAGCATTTTGAGAGACCAAGGTGGGAGGATTGCTTGAGTCAGGAGTTTGAGACCAGCCTGGGCAACGTCGTGAGACCCTCTCTCTACAAAAAAAATTAAACAACAAAAAAATTTGGATTGTCCAGGAATTAATTTTCTCATTAAGGCAACATTTGAGCAGAGAATAGGAGTGAATGGAATAAGTGATGTTGAGATAGAGATAGATCCATAAATATATATGTATATGTATCTATAAGTGTATACACACACGTTTATAGTAACATTGGTCAGATTAGGGAAGAGAACTGTTGAATTCCAGTATGCAATATGCAAACATTATCCATGCCTGCCACAATAAGGGCTTTGTTCAGGCAAGATGATTATGAAAGTTCTTTTGGCCTGGCTCATACCATTTATTTTAGACGTAGCTTCCTGAAACTAAATCATTTTCATTTTTAGAAAGCTATTTCATATTTAAACCCATCTGGGTATTTTTTTCATGCATTAAAAAATCAAGTTTGAATATCAGACCCAAGGGAGTTGATAACCTTGTTCAAAGTATACATATCTGTTGAAAGAAGATTTTGAAGCTTAAAGTTACTTGTATCTGTTTACCCAAGCTGGAGGAGTTTTATATTTTGCTTTTTTATAATTGAAGCAGCTCCGAATGGCTTTTCTTGTCCAGAGTTATGGAGGGAGCCTCTTTTTGGTGATTCCTTTCAAATAGGATTGTTTCTTTTGCTGTTGTTGTTGTTATTTTGTTTGTTTTTGTGATAGGGTCTCATTCTGTAGCCCAGGCTGAAGTGCAGTGCTGTGATCTTGTCTCACTGCAGCCTCGCTCTTTTTGGCCTCAGGAGTGGCTGGGACCACAGGTGCCTGCCACCATGCCTGGCTAAATTTTTATATTTCTCGTAGAGATGGGGTTTCACCATGTTGCTCAGGCTGGTTGAAATTCCTGAGCTCAAGCTATCTGCCTGCCTTTTCTTCCCAAAGTGCTTAGATTACAGGCATCAACCACTGTGCCTGGCGATTGTTTCTTTTGTTTGTGAATGTCAGCACAACTATCCAGACCCTACATTATGGAGCTTAATGTAAATAATGCTTATGTCTCCAGTTACCCTGAAAGTAAAGCTTTTCTAATACCCATTACACTTA